CGGATCTGCGCGTGCTCAGGACACACTTGGCCTTGACGTGGGGCGGACTGCGCAAGCCTGTTGCTTGCTGCAGTCTTCCCACGCACAGGCACCCTATCATTACCGTGATGGCGACAAACCTTGCCTAGCAGGGCCAGCATCCATCATATACATGCTTGAAGCAAATTCGGGCATGTCCTAAAAAATCTGCGCAAGCTGGCTTTAGACTAGTCGCTGCAAGATGAGTAGATAAGAGAGTCTTGGTGCAGGGCTGCCTGCTCAATCGCAGTTGTCTGCCAGGGCTGCCGATAATCATCCGTCAGCCATACCTGCATGGGTAGTTCAGGCATGGGACGGTGTTGCCAGAAAGCTTGGTAATGTCCGGCACTGAGCTCATCACCTCTGTGAGCCACCCCTGAAACAACCTGGCAATTGACCCTGGCACGGCCCTGCCCCACCCGCCAAACGCCGACCCGCACGTAGCCCTGCCATGAAATGCTGACCCTGGACTTATCGCCGTCCTGCCAGCGACATAGCACAACCGGAAGAAGCTCCGGGGGCCAGCACAGAGGCCTTTGAAATGTGTTCTCACTCCAGAGATCGGCAGGAATGGGGAGCAAGAGCGGAGTCAATCCCGTATCAGAGTCTTCTAGTTGTCCGTCGGTTCTTGCTTGCCATTGCGAGGGGGCGAGCGATCCGGAGGGGTGGTTGAAGAGATGGGTGAGGAATTCGGCCGCGTCGTGCTGTCGACCATCCAAACGCCACCCCGCTGTAAGATGTCTAAACTCAAATAGACCAAACAGATTCAGTGGTTTCCGTGAGTCTGAAGACAACACCCTCATGAGAGAACCGAAGACTCCCAAATCGTACTGCTCCCAGCACAGCGCAAGCATAGCCAGCAGGACTGAGTTTGCGTAGCAGGAATTGCTCGTGTTTGACAACGTGCAACACCTTCGCGTCGAGCTCGAAGTGTCCGCCGGGACCGTGACAGTCGGCTGTGACGACGAAGTTGTTGCCGCCGGGCGCTTCGTGCCAAAAAAGCGATGTAACGACTGTGTCTCCGGCGGAGGAGGACTGTGTCCTGCTTGAATCTGGTGTAGGTCTGCCCGCGACCGCAACCAATAAGACACAACCTGGTACAAAACCGGGCACTGTTCCGGGTGTTGTCGGCGATCGTGAACCTTGAACTGACAAAAAGGACACATCTGACCCTTCATCGTGTGATTCGAGTAGGTCTGACATAGCTTGGCAGTAGCGGGGTGTAGTCTGGCCCAGTCTCCTGGGTGTGCCTGCCTGAAATGAGATTTCACCTTGGTGCGGTCAGGAGTCCAGAAATTGCAGACCAAGCAGCGGTGGTTCAAGAGAGCCGCTGCGGGTTTGCAAGCCTGCGAGCCGAGCTGATGTTGTGGTAAACCAAGCACCTCAGTTCTGAGACCAGCGAGCTGTACCTCGTCCGAAAGTTGTTTGAGGCGATCAGGGTTCGGGCAAGCCCCCGAAAGCAAACGATCCCTCAAGCCCTTCCACTGCTTAAAGGAATATCCACAAGCCGCGCACTTCGGAAGGCCATCTACAGCATGCCGCAGGCGATCAAACGATGATGGAACGAATCTTTGCACTGACGTCGGATGCTGCTTGGTGGCGTACATATGAAGGCCGCGAGCTGTCTCAAAAACAGCAGAGCACGTGTCACAAACATACGCCTGAGCTGGGTCTTTGACCGGCTCTGGTAGCTGCTCGATCACAGCAATCTTATCTCTCAAGCATAGCAAGACCTGCTCTGAAGTGGTGATGTCCGGGCCTCGTCTCGCCTTGGTTGACAGCTTCTTGAGTCGCTTTTTCAATCGCTTCAGAATCTGTTGCACAGGGTCGGAGATGCCGTGCAACGCAAAGAGGTCCGATGTTGTCACTCGGAAAATATGTGCTGGCTGGTTCAGGACCGATCTGACTTTGTGAGCGTGCCAGCTACGCAACGTGCGTGCGGACTCCTGCGTAAGGCCCGTGTCAGACAATCCTGTCTGCAGCGTGCTGAACACTGTCGAGTTCCAAACCTGCAGGCGCGACTTTGTGCTCGCAACTCGTCTGTTATATACGAACTTCCTAACAAGGTGGAGTTTTTGATTCCCTTCGTGAATGCGGTGTTGAAGGGCATGAAGGGTTTGCAGCTCAAAATGGCCGTAGGAAATGATGGCCCCCAAATATTTGGTCTTGGCCACCCACTGGAAAGCCGGGAAAGTTTTGTTGGGCCCCAATCTCCAGCCTTTCACCTTGTTGCCTTTGGCATCAAGCACCCAGCAGGAGTGCTTTTTGATGATCGAGGCTGCTTCTCGTCCAACTACTTTGACGAGAATGACGCATTTGGATTTGTTCACGACAAGGCTGTGCCTTCTGACCTCCTCGAGAAGGCCAGCTATGAGACCATGTATGGCCTTAAGGTCTGTGACCGATCGAATGGTCCGATGCAGCGTCAAGTCATCTTTATATCCCGTCAAAAAGTTGACAACAGATTCGACTCCGAATGAGTCTGCCAGGGAGGTGAACAAGCGTCCTGTCAGGAAGGAGAAGAGAGTCGGAGCTAACTTGCAGCCCTGCTTGATACCCGCCGTAGTTTCGACCCAGGTGGCTTCTCCTTGCGTCTGAAGTCTGTACGTAGAGCGATGATGCAAGGCGTGAACCAGCCTGACCACTTCTTCAGGAGCTCCAAGCTGAGCCAAGTTGTCAATGATGGCCTGTCGCGAGTCAGTGTCGAAGGCCTGACTCAGGTCTAGTGCAAAGGTGATGCCGCCCGCTAGACCGGGAGGCGTAATGCCTGCCGACTGGGCCTCGCCTGATTTATAAGCTCACGAGCCTCGCGTAGGTGGCTCACTACCCTGTCCAATGCATCAGAAAGCCCTCGACCCGGCAAATACGCGAACTGAGGCAAGTGCATCAAGCTGCCAGAGATGCATGGGGCCAAGGCTGCCCTCGTCGCCCCCGCTAGTCCCTTCCCGTCAGGTTGTCAGGAGGCTTGCCTGGCTTGGGGATGAGGCAAAGATCAGCATTAAGCAGGTCTTCATGCAGACCCTCCTCTACTCGCCTATGCGCAAGGGAGGATGACATGGCATTCGCCACTTCATCGCTGCACAGACGCCAGGCTGCCGCAGGTGCCGAACTGCCTTTCCTGGCCTGATAGAATGAATGTGTCGGGCTAGATCAGCAGGGCTAAGGCGCGGCAATGGTCCCTGCGTGGGGGCCAGGGGAGGTGTGCTGCAAAGATGTCTTTTGCGTACTTGCTCAGGGTGTCCAGCTCTTCTGTCGGGGATAGGATGTGACCACTGTTGCTTTTCAGTTGTGCTCTACGCGCAGGCTGCCAGGGTCGGAGAAGCTTGAGGGTTTTGAAAGCTACATGGTGATCTCCGTCAGAAATCGATTGGTCAACTTCCGCCAAAAGTCTGTTGAAGCGGTCCTTCTGAGCCTGTTTCGCAGCCTGTCTGTGCGGTTCCTGAGCCGATTGCGAATCAGGGGCTACACTTGCAGTTGCAGCCGTAGCTTCTGTCGCACTCGGCTGCGCCGGGAGCTGTGATGACGGCTGCGCTGGTGTCTCTGAGGCAATCGGTAAGGCATGCAATGCTTCAGCTGACAAAGAGTCTGGGAATCTCGACTCCGCAACCTTAGTGCGCCACATCCTGCGGGTGACGGTCTCCAGTTCCACAGGCTCGTGCTGTGCTTGTTTTGGGGCTCGCCAACCCTTTGCTTCATCGCCTGAGAGGTCGCATCCCCTGGCGAACGGAGGCTTGAAGTGCTGCGATGTCATAAGCCGTGGCCTGAGAGCTACGCTTGGGCAGTAACCAATGTTGCATGGTAGGAATTGACGCCAAAATGGGTAGGTGGCCCCCTTTTTTCCAACTGCCTAAATAGAAATTAGGAAGAGGAGACGCGCTTTTGGCCTGAGACCCCGAGCAAGGCTCCCTAGTGAAAACAAAATCAATCTGAGTCCTTGACTCACCCTGGATGAAAGTGTGATAAGGATTGCAGTGCCAGGTGTTCAGGGCAACTAAACGTAGCCGGCGGACCAAGTTGGTCAAGCTGGACTCATCCGGGCGTGGATCCTCCGGCTGCGCCGTTTGCGGCCCAACAAGCGACTGCGTCGTGGTCAGCGAGCTGTTAAAGTCCCCTGCTACGATCAAAGTATCTCGCTGAGGCACTTGCCTAATCGCCTTGGTCAGCGAGGACAAAACCGAGGCACGATCGGACTTGTTGTCCTGTTGCGTTTTATTGGAGGACCAGACATGCTGATATGTTGCTAGAAAAGTAATGCGAGAACCGGCCATGAAAGCTCGTACCTCTAGAACCCTGCCAGTAATCCACTCCTTCCAACGAACCTGCTTCTTCTGAAACTTAGGCGATAAAAGGACCATGAGACCAGTTTCCTGTGCGGCGAAGCAGCTGAGGAGTCAAAGGTTGACCACGATATGACACCGGAGCCTGCTGCTGGATAACTCTTCTAATGCTCTCTTGAAAGAATCTTGCGCAGAGTCGGAAAGTTCTGCGTACTGGTAGCAACGCTATCCGCTATTTTCGCTACCGAAGTAGCTCCTTCCACTGCGCGGTAAGTACCGCCTCCCACGAGCTGCGTTGTGCCGGGAATTGGCCCGGCAGTTCAGACGATTGCATTAGCAGGAGCACATGGCACGTAATCGGGACCACTCCGTAAGGTTAAAGAAAGGCCTGTTTGGAGCCTTTAGAAAGGGAGTTAGGTACCTGCAGCCTGTTCGGAAGCTCCGCTACACTCGCGGCCGTCTGAACCGTGGCGGCTACTACTACAACAACAACAACAACAACCACAACGACGACGACGACGACAACGACAACGACAACGACACCACCACCACCACCACCACCACCATCTTCTCTAGCATAACAAGGGATGGCCATCGTCATCGCCATCTCTGCAGCCATCACAATCACCAACAGCAGCATCATCAGCAGCATCATCAGTACGATTCTTCCAGAAAGGAGCGAGAAATGAAACACGCCATCCATGTTCAATCAATACAACCACTGCCTGCCTGGGCACCGGCTTCACAGGAAGTCGCATTGGACTCGGCACAAGCTGCAAGCATTGCCATTTCTGCATCTTGTTGGGACCACTCGAAGCCAGGCAGTCGCTCCAGGTTGAACTGCGTCAGAACAGAGCCTGGGTCGTGAAGCCCAGCTAACTCAAGTAGACATGGGTGTGTCGTTCGGGCAGGTTATGCCAGCACAGCCAAGATGCAAGCGGCCATCCACTGAGTTCCAAGACCTCAAACAAGGTTTGTTCTTGTCCCTAACTTCAGCCTGATACTCTATGTTCGGCCAGCCCTTGACTAGTCTTTGCAGGAAACAGACATCCCAATGCAGAAAGTTACTTGTTGCAACTGCCCCCGCCCTCAAGATTATGAGAGATCAGTGCTGCCTGGAAACGAATCATGCTGGTGTGGAGCTTCGCGCTTCCCTTCACTGCAGCTGTGGCGGCCATGGCCGCGACAACAAAGTTCAAGAACACTTTCTGGCCGATGTCGGACAGCACAGCAAACTTGGTTCAAAAGAACGCCTACGAAGAAGACATGCACGACCGGCCAACAAGGCAACTACACGCAGCGTAATTGAAGGACAGCTGGTCATTGCTTTCACCTTTCAGACTCACACGCTCAGCCGCTTCCCACACCCCCGTTGGCCGTTCAACTAGACATTGCCTGTGCATCCTGTTCAGGCATTGCTGTCCTTGTACTGGCTAAGTTCGTCCCAATCCTCCTGATGCCCCCGACCATGGCACACAAGAGAAGATGTACCACATTACTCACAGTTGGACCATACTGGGCCGAGACACAGACAGGTCTCCTGCAGAATCGGGCGGACACTTGCGACAAAGTTCGGGATAATCATCTCTGGCCCAATGGTCGGGGCACTCGCCGCACAACACTCCAGTAGATCCTGCAAAATGCAATTCAGTGGTGAGCTGTCCGCCACGTGTCGTCTCGATCCAGCTTACGGAGCAGACGCGCCTTCGGCACATTCGTTTCCTGAGCCCACTCTGAACGAACAGATGGAGTGACCCCGTCCACAACACAAACATCTTACGACTTGCCTGTGCAATGACTCCACCAGCAAATAAGTGCATGCTGAATTGCAGGCCCGAGGCTCCCAACATCCCGTTGCATGATTGCGGAACGGGAAGGTCCATCCGCTGAGCAACGCAATTGGCTCCTCCCTTACACGCACTGCTACCATCCGGCAACAGAACGTCACACTCCCTCGCGGTGGATAAGCCCGCTTGGTAGAAGCCAGGCCTCGGTCCGACAGCGTGTTTTCCAGGGCTTGTACGAGCCTGTCAAAATACTCCAAAAGTGGGTTTTCAAACACGACCACACAGGCAGGAGGCTCTGCAACCGGCTGTGCATGACGACGCTCGGTGCCGTTTGTCTCGTTTTCGAAGCCTCCACGGCACTCAAGGCCTTGATAGTTGCAGCCAGCACAGCGTGCCAGGCTCCCTTGGTCAAATGCGTTATCCAGGATCGCGTGGAATCGAGGGAGGCAGAAGCAGTCAGCCAGGGAAGTGGAAGCAAAATCACTCATGGAATTGGCCGGACACTCCAACGCGCAAGTTGCATCATTCCCAACGGTGGGCTTGTAAGTGCCGGGTTCGCACGCCTGACAGCTTGTTGCGCCCTTCCTATAGCCCGGCAGGCAAATGCAGTCTGTTGCAGTCCGTCCACCCAACGCCACCGTCGTTGAGTTCTGTGGACAGCTGACGGCTTCACCAGTGCCCGGACAATAGAATCCAATCTCACAGGAAGAGCAAAACCCTGAACCATCAGCAAAAAGCCCAGCCTGCCAGCAGTGCGGTAAGAAGTGATCAAGAAGTTCTGCACGAATTCTTCAACGACTAAGCAACAAAGAACAGCTTCTAGCCAAGAATTCGTGGCCTCACATCTGCACTGCTCCGGCGACGTGGCACCAACTTCTAGGGTGGATTTCTCGGAGGGACATCGCGTGCAGGCATCCATGGATATGGCATCCTGCAGGCTTCAAGGTGATTTGCTGAAGGCCGATGCCCCTGTTCCAATATCTGTCGCACATGCACGGTGATGCCACGGAGACTCAATGAGATTTTTCCTGATGCTTCGCATCATTTCGCATCTGAGCCTCTAGTGGAGTTCTTCGTTACCTATCCCTCTGGCGGAGACTTCTGGCCCAGCCTACACCTCGCTTTGTCTGTGGATACTGCGGCAGGGATTCGTTAGTTGGGAGCTGGCGGTCATGTGTGGTTGTTCAGCTTTACGCTGGCGAAAACGAGCTTCATAGATTCTCTCTTATGGTTTGATTTGATTCAAGGGGTCTACGTTGCCCGTGGATTTTGGGGGATGCCACGGTGCATTGGCTAGATGCTACTTTTGTCCATCTTTGTCCCCGATTGGCTGTGGCACAAACCTCTGGCTCTTGCACAGAGGTCCCGTAACCCTCCAGCCTTTGGTTAACGGTTGCCTGCTTTCCATACAAGACTTCATGACGCCACAAGGGGAGGAACAGAGAGGGCAGAGTCGACAGTGGACCATCGCACCATCTGTGTCCACAACTTATGCACAGTGTGGCCCGGACTCCAGTCTTACTTCTTCGGGTCAGAGCTCGAAAGAAGGCGAAAGGCCGCCTTAAGACTTGCCCACTACCAACGTGGCTCGAGCCGCTGCGCCAGGGACGGGTTGGACCTGTGGCTCCGAAGCTCCGTGCAAAGAGACCGTCCGGTTTCTTCGCTTCGTGACCCTGCACAAACGGCCAGGTTTTGAGGTCGATTTCTTTTAGTTGGTTTACGGCCTGCATGGACGTCGGATGCTGGGTGCATTCATGACACAGCACACTGCCCTTGGCTTAGCAGTGGCCGGACAATGTTTTCTTGGCTGCGCTCATGTATCTCCTTCCCCCCAATGAAACGTCGCCCGAAAGCACGAAACGGCTTTGCTTCTACTTAAGGAGCAGTGTTTGCTCGGCCCTCTGCCGCTGCAGGCCCTCGTACAACATGAAGAATCTGCTGCGACATAGATTACACATGATTACACCAAAGCACTGAAAAACAGCGTCCGTCCTTGTACTCGCCCCTAGCACATGGTTCGCAGCCCTGAGCTACAGTGTCGTAGCTGTATCCAGGACTGCACTGGCAGTCATCCGCGCTGAGAACGGGCACGCCTGGCAATTATTGAATCGGCTCTTGACGTGTGCAACAGGACCACCCATCAACACATGCTACCAGAACACCTGGCGGAACTGACATCCGAGGCGAACAGCTGACGACTGTGGAAGAAACCGCTGGTGCCGACTCGACTTCCAACGATATGCCTGCGCCACTGAGAGTCCTTAGTTGCCATACCGACATATCGGAACTCTCCACATTCGGCCAGACAACTCACTCTAGGAACATTGCTGTGTGCATGTAAGCTGCTGACAACGAAATCACTCATGCAGCCCAACTGCTGAACAGAAGTTTATGAGCAGTACGCTTCAAAACAGAAACGCATCCATGTGGTCTCGGGAAAAAGATGCATGTCCGATTGAACCCGCCCGTCCCGGGTGGAGCTGCTTTACGTGCTGACCCTGTTGTCTGCATCCCCGTGTCTGCTTGGAGCACATGGTCATCTCGGACCACGCACGTCACGAGTCTTCTGGCAGAAAACTCCACCCACGACACGAGACCCGACCAACGGCTCACAGACAGCCCTGAGCTAGCCCGCTGGGAAAAACGAAGGCCAACAGCAAACACGCACTTTTTAATGGTTATTATTCGCGTACTAATTGTTTTACGGTGGTTTTCCATTGTTCAATACTGATTGTTGTTTGGAATTTTTATGCTAATCTCCACACCGAAAGAAAAAGGGCGCAGAAAACCCAAAAGACAAACGCAAATAACGCAGTGATCAGCCCGAAAACGTGGTAGCCAGAGACGAGGACTGTGCGCTGGATTTCAAAACCGTCGCGAAAACTCAAATTTCAAGCAACGTGTAGCAGCCTCCCTGGGTCACCAAGAGAAAGACGGCCTCACTGGCATGCTAGCCTGTAACAACACATGTCAGATAGCACGCGGCCAGCCGCTGGAACTGAATGCAATGAGGGTCGGATTCTGCTGAACGGCAGCGGCGACTTCGTTCGTGACCGTGACAGCCTCGACGGCGATCTCTGAACTCACGCGCTCAAACAGACGGAGCATGTTTGCCACGAGCCCTATCCGCGAAAGCATCAGACGGTACATCATGGAACATGCGACTTCAGGCAATGGCGCTTGGTGGCACAGCCAAGCTGCATCCATGTCGGCGGCGATCGCACTCGCCTCGTCCGCAGTCCGCTGTTTGATTGTAATAACGATCGTCGATGCATCGAAAAGCCGTCTCAGCCGTCTTCCAGCCAGACCGAGACCCACGAAGTCCTCAGCTGACGAGTCCTACTTCTGGGCGAATCTTGGAACCATCGGTCCCTTGTGAAGCCCCGCGGATTGTGGGATCAGCAACACGTGCAACCAGCCATCACCAAACTTGCTTTAAAGGTCCAGTTCCTGAACGTTCCGAGCAACCTCGAACAACTACGGGGCTGGCACCAAGGACGTCAAGTTTCGATTTCGATCGCACTGGGGTCCACTCTCGCACTGGCGGAAAAGGTGGCAAGAAACATTGCCTCGGAATGGAAGTGCAAGATGTGAAAGCAAGCAACACCCACATGCCCGACACTTGCAAGCTACTTGTAGTAGTCTTGCTAGGCCAGGTGCAACCAGCTGGTTCCTGATGCTCTCGAGGTCAGCATCAGCCGGGAGGTTTCCGAAGGACATGTTGAATGATACCGCTGGAACTTCTGACGAGTTTGACAGCTGTGTGGCCCCAGAGCTTCCTGATCCATCACCGGAGTCATCCACTTCAGGTATGCATGATGATGGGGCTACCGCTCCGGTGCCGAAGGTGGTGTTGCCAGCAGCACACGGCGTGCATGCGTCCCCATTGCCAGCATTCTGCTTGTAGGAGCCTTTGGGGCAGTCTGTGCAACTGCTGGAGGTGGCGACAAAATAATAACCTCGATCGCACACGCACTGGGCACTGGAGACCTTAGCTGCTGAGGCAAGCGATGGCAACCAGCCCTACGTCGTACATCTCGATAGACCAACCGCTTTCGAGCAATCGTAACTTTAGCTGACCAAGTCTGGCGGCAGAACCCCGACCGAAGGTGGTGTACCCTCCTGGACAAGCCAGTCTTGTAGCCGTCGCTCGAGGCCCACCAGCGCAATAGTAGCCACGTGTGCAGCTTACACACTTGCTCCCTGGCAGGGAACACTTCAAGAACTCCAAAAGCCAATTCGACAAGCCGCTGCAAGCTAGCTTCCAAGGTGTCAATCTTTCTCTGGCGCTCGCAATCTCTCTTTGGTCTTTCGTCGGGATTGCGGACAGAGGACAGACCCTAAACCCCCCGAGCTGCTCTTGACCTTTGCCGCCTTTCGCCCTGCGCCGAGATCCTAATGCATGTCCTGATTTCCGTGCAGCTTGGAAACACGCACGACAAGAACAATCCCACGGAACCAGCCTGAGACAGGACCTGTTGCAAAGGTGCCTGCTGGGCAGTTCACCTGCAGATAGCCCGCAGGAGCTCGAAATGCCAATGTCGAAGTGCAGTCTGCAGACAGCGGGCACCAGCATAGTCTGTAGAAACCGGGTACTGCTTCTGCGGGTAGCTCCCCCAAGTTTACCTGCAACCCCGTGCTCGAGTCCTCCACAATCAGGGGGTCCTCCATGTTGGGAAAGCCAAGAGATCCAATGCTACTGGAATTACCGCACTCACCCATAGCAAACAGCAGGCGATCGCCGCCAATCAGACCGATTCCGGACAACTGCACCGTGCACAGGGCACTCATCTCACAGGTGGTCGTTTGCTCAAACGGGCCACTCGCTGTCATCAGCCCGACAGCAGCCTGAAAGCTGGAAGTGGCAGTGCACACCTCAGCAGGTGACGGCCTGCAGAAGCAGATTCGGAAAATCCCCGGCACTGACAGGAGGAAGCTGCTGGTCGTGGTCATGAATTCGAAACTGGAGCCATCGGTGGTTACCATGATGCCACCACCCGGAAAACCTGGCAATGGCGTTCCTGTGCCACAATTGGACAGAATCATCAGCCGATCTCCTGCTTCCATGCTAACACCCCGAATGCCTGCAACAGCACACTCCTGTCCCACGAAGCATTCACTCTCTTGGTTTGTGCGGGGACCTACCACCCGAAGACGGCCAGCGAACACTCGATGGTCTTCAGGGCTTGTGCAGGCATCCGTCAAGCCGCGATCATTTGCACACCAGCACAAGGCATACCCTGTATCATCCGCATCGATGGAAAGATGATAGCTGTTGGAAGCATCCGAGATGCCAAAGCCCAGCACAAGGTGGCTTGCGTTAACGGCTTCTGGAACCGACAGATTGCCATGACCATCACGATTCACTGAAGACAGCGCAAGCCCTGTCAGTCCACATTGGTCACGCTGAACAACCACAGAATCACTGCCAGACAGACCATAACCGACGAAAGGCGCCAAATTGGCACAGTCCCGGCCACGAACGCATTGCAACAGATTCTGACTCGGACCGATGACATGAAGTTGCCCAGCAGATATCAAATAGTTGCTGTTCAAGTCTTCGCAAGACAGTGCTGCCATGTTCGCACACCAGCACATGTTGTAGTAGCCTCCCTGTGGCGCAAACTCGTCAGGACTGTCTCCGAGCACATATTGGCCACCACCAGCGGTGGCCAGGTCTGAGATTCCCCCGCCTTCTATGTTCGGCACTGCCACTTTTGCGGAACTGCAGTCTGTTGAAGCCAGTCCCATGCGATGCCCGTCTTGGAGGCCGAAACCCATGATCCCCTCCACAGTGCAAGCTCTGCCAGAGATGCATTCAGCGAGTTGGTTTGGGTATGGTCGGACACAAGAGCTTTCATTTTGAGAAGCGGCCTGGACAGTCGTGGACCCGGCGGGGCATTGCACGCATGTGCGTGCGTCTTTGGCCCCAGTTTCGTCACTCCACTTGCCAATCTCACACCTGACACATGACTCTATGGAAGTGGCTTCTTCATCAGGAGAATACCGCCCGGCGGGGCACGGCTCGCACATGCCCACACCACCGGTGGAAAAGGTTCCTTCGTCACAGGAATCACATTCATCTGCCCCCTCTTCCGAAAAAGTCCCTGCGGGGCAATCCATGCAGGGCGAGTTCCCAATCTCCTCCTTGAACGTGCCAGGCGAACATGCATCACAAGTACCGGTGCCTGTGCTTGTGGAACCCTCCTCGCACAAGCAGTCCGACTGACTGCTGGCAGTGTCGCCCTGTGTTGACTGCGACGACCCACAAGCCTGCCTGTGCTTTCCTCCGGTGCAGAAAAAGCCCTGGCCACAGGGAGCGCAGTCTGCAGGATCCTCGGGATCAACATTCACGAATCCAGCTGAGCAGGTGCAAGCCGCATAGGAGATCGCACCTTGCTGAAGTGTGGTTAAAGGATCCCCCTTTGACGGGCAAGCAGTACAACTCGAGTCCCCAACGAAGGATTTGTATGTACCAATAGGGCAACTGGAGCAACCGGAAAGCAAACCTGTGCTCCCAGATACGGCAGGCTGTGTCCCGTGTGGGCACTGGCAATCGGCCAAGCCGGTCACATAGGACCCTGCCTTGATACCCAAACCTTCGGGGCATTGAAGCACTGTGCGCTGCACAAGCGTTTCGTTGCCAGCCACTGCAGATGCTAGCACCGTGCCTTCCATGTCGGAGTACACCCACGCAGAGAAGGACATAGGCTCCAGTCTACCTCTCATGATTTCCGCCAGCTCGTCGTCCGGGCTCAAGACTTCGTAATCGACGTACCAATTTCCAGCCTGACGCCCTTGCAAGCTGAAGGACGCACGTGCACCATTCAACTCCAGTAGATCGGACAATTCAGCCTTGATGCTCTCAAGCAGCTCATCAGTCGATGCATCTAGCACTTGCACGGATCCGGAGAAGGTGTACAAATCAGATTGCCTGGCTGCGAAGGCTGAACTGTTACTGAAGTTATCAGCCAGGTCGAGCAAATCCACACAATCAAAGCCTTCCGGAGTCGGGTCAACATCTACAGCACTTCCGGCACAAAAGCATTCCGCAATACTGGCCGCCCCGCTGTTTGACGAAGTCTGGGGCGGACACTCTTCGGCACAGGCTGTTAACCTGCCTGTTACATTCTGGAAAACGCCGTAAGGGCAAGCGAAGCAAGCGCCCAGCTGACCGTTCCAGAAATAACCGCGACGGCAGACGCATTCCTCCAGACTCCCGGCTCCAGGCAAACTCGTCATTCCGGCAGGACATTTCTGTATCTCGGCCGGATAGCCACCGACACAGTAATATCCCGGAGGGCACTCGTGACAAATAACTGTTGCACTTTGCAGCTCATACCAGCCAGGAGGGCATTCAACATAAAGCACCATGGCGTAGACACGAAAGGCAGAAGCTTCGGTACATGCTGACCCACCTGCACACCAGCAAACCCAGAGCTGTTCGGGCCTGGAAGCCTGGAGCTGCAAGTCTCCGAGGTTCCAGAAATAGCTGCCATCTGTGTTGTAAGAGGATGAAACAGGCTGTGGCTGAGGAAAAGTGATGGTCGTGTTTGCACTTCCACAGTCTGCCACTGCCAATAAAAGGTTCTGTGAGGAGAGGCCTATACCTCGTAAGCTTGTCACAAGGCACGAAGCTCCAAAGGCGCAATGCAGTTCCTGGCCAGCATAGGGTCCCACGGAGCGGAAAAGGCCAACTGTAACATTGAAGTCGAGCCCGCTGTCACAGTACAAGGACAGCGAAGGTTCTGGACGACACCAGCATAGCCGGAAAATGCCCGGTGATGACATCAAGTATTTGCCGTTCTCATCCACAGATGCATTGCTGTTAAAGCTATAAACAGTGCCCTCTGTTGTCTCTGCATACCCTGGAAAGGGCAAGCCTTCGAGAAACTCTCCCTCACCACATTGTTCCAGCACAGAAATTCGGTCACCTCCCGATAAACCCATGCTTTCGGCGTTGAAGGTAACCATGCACCCCTGGCCCTGGTCGCACTCCGCCTCCTCTCCGGTGGGCGGCCCGTGAACCTCGAACCAGCCAAGTTGTGCTTCAAGGTAGTCTGTGGCAGAACCGACGTTTTCGACTGTCATGCTGGCACAGCTCTGGCCGACAGATGAGCACCAGCACAAGGCATACTCCGCGGACGCCTGGACAACTGGATAGGACGAGGACAGGTACAGCTCCACCTCTCCACTGTCGGTGTTGTTCGCTGCCCTGACATCCAAGTTCAGCCCAAAAAACTGCGCTTGATCCAGAGTGCAGGCTACGCGGATGTGCACAAGGTCTTCGGCTGTCAGCCCGAGACCAAGTACAGGACCCTGGTTGCGGCAAATGTGACCCTTTGTGCAGGCGAATCTCTGGTTGCTGTATGGACCCAGCACCGTGATTGCGCCAACATCTGTTGCGAAGTTGTCGAAGTTGTCCTCGCAAGTGGTCCCGCCAACACCTCCACACCAGCAAAGCCGGTATTGACCTGGTGATGCCGCGAGTTGGCCGGACCAGGTGTACGTTGTCTTGCCCGAGGACGAGATCGACTTCTCCCCAAAACCTGCACTTGTATCCGGCGGCTCTACAGGATCTTCTAGTCTGCGTGGGAAACCGCCATAGCCAGAACCAGGACCCGACCCGGGTCCGTCACCTGGCCCAGGACCATCTCCTGGCCCAGAACCTGGCCCATCATCTGGCCCATCATCTGGCCCATCATCTGGCCCATCGTCTGGCCCATCATCTGGCCCGTCATCTGGCCCGTCATCTGGCCCGTCAGGTCCGTCACCTGGTCCATCACCTGGTCCGCCTGGTCCGCCTGTTCCATTGACATCTGTCCCGTTGCCATCTGATCTATTGTTTTGCTCATCGCCTGGCCCGCCGTCACCCGGCCCACCAATGCCACCATTGCCATCCGTCCCATTGACATCTGTGCCGTTGCCATC